ATATTTGCAAACGGGTGTAAGGTAAAGTCAATTACTTAACTTCGCGGAACATTTAGCATGTATAAGCAAATTTAATCCATAGGTGGCATTTACCAGCTTTGCTTCGGAGAGTAAATATAATGAACAGATGGTCTTTGTTACTGAGAAAATTTAGGCAAAACTAAAATTTGTCTTACATTTGCTTAACGTTTCCCACTCAGGCAAATCCATTTTCTGTTCCAGTGTGTTTTTCTGGGAATGTTTTCATTGACAGGAAAAGGTGACAAGATAATTTGGTTTATCATTTAAGTTGATAATGTAAATTAACCACCATAAAGAGTTTTTTTAGCTCCTGTTTCGAGCGTAACCCTTCGTCAGTGCGACTCTTTACGAAGCTACCACTTGAAACATCAGCCTAGAATCTGTTTATAGAGGCTAATTTCTAAAACGACAGTGTCTAGAAAGTATCGCGACAGAACTGGAACTTACATGCATTCTCACATCAAAATGAGGTTCGAGAGTCTAAAAACTAATTTGTTCTTTCATGTTCCTTCAGCTCAAAATGTCGGTTACGAATGGCCCGGAATCAAGTCAGTGAGTCTTGGCCAACACAAATGGAGTTTCACCCTGGCGTACTTGGAAAGTCTACAGTTTGAGACAAAAGGTATAATGACAGAAACATCTGACAGCGGTATGGGAACAGAAGGAGCACCATCTGAGTTTGGAGTGGACATTGGTGGTCAGTATCTAAAAGTCAAAATTACTCACACTTATTTTTTGTTTTTGTTTACCCTTTTGTTTTTGTTTACCCTGTTCATGTAGTGATAATGGCAAAATCAATGTCCTCAGTAAAATGAAGGGAACTGTGTTTGAAATGCTATGTATAAAAAGAAGAGATATAAAAAAATATAGTTTTAAAAATTAGCTGAGTGAACCACCAGTCCTTCATTGGTTATAATATGCTAGAAACGACCAAAAAGTGTCCTAAGAAATCCTTAAAATCAGCACACCAAGCACTTTTTGACCAGTTCAAAAACCAAAATAAAAAAAAAATCAGAGGGGTTATTTTCATATAAACCAAAAAATTGTTTTTATGTATTGAGTGTAAACGTTTTTATCAGTAAAAAATAGAAAAAGATATCTCAATTTAGCTCTACTTTATTTCAGATGAACGTGAAACTCAAACGGTAACTGGTTACGACCAAAAGTCACTGTTTTTAGCAGTAAGTAGTGGCAATATCGCCATTATCGAGGATATGTTGTCACATGGCCTGGATATCAACACAAAAAATGAATGTGGTGACACGGCTCTGATCGTCGCTGCCTTGAATGGTAAAAGAGACCCCGCAAATTATCTGTTACACAAGGGAGCTGATCCCTTCGCGAAAGGACAGTTTGGAAGAAATTCACTGCACTCCGCTTCACTCGGTGGTAATGTCGCTATCATCGAGACAGTAATGTCACACGGTCTTGATGTGGATTCAAAAGATGGTAACGGATCCACACCTTTGATATTGGCTGCACTGAGTGGCAAAGTTGAGGCGGTAAATTATCTGTTAGACGAGGGAGCTGATCCCTTTGTGAAAGGACAGTTTGGAAGAAATTCACTGCACTCCGCTTCACTGGGTGGTAATGTCGTTATCATCGAGACAGTAGTGTCACGCGGTCTTGATGTGGATTCAAAAGATGGTAACGGATCCACACCTTTAATATTGGCTGCACTGAGTGACAAGATTGACGCCGTAAATTATCTGTTAGACAAGGGAGCTGATCCCTTTGTGAAAGGACAGTTTGGAAGAAATTCACTGCACTCCGCTTCACTGGGCGGTAATGTCGCTATCATCGAGACAGTATTGTCACGCGGTCTTGATGTGGATTCAAAGGATGGTAACGGATCCACACCTTTGATGTTGGCTGCACTGAGTGACAAGATTGAGGCGGTAAATTATCTGTTAGACAAGGGAGCTGATCCTTTTGTGAAAGGACAGTTTGGAAGAAATTCACTGCACTCCGCTTCACTGGGTGGTAATGTCGCTATCATTGAGACAGTATTGTCACGCAGTCTTGATGTGAATTCAAAAGATGGTAACGGATCCACACCTTTGATATTGGCTGTACTGAGTGACAAGATTGACGCAGTAAATTATCTCTTAGACAAGGGAGCTGATCCCTTTGTGGAAGGACAGTTTGGAGGAAATTCCCTGCACTTCGCTTCAGAGGGTGGTAATGTCGCCATCATCGAGACAATAATGTCACGTGGTCTTGATGTTGATTCAAAAGATGGTGACGGCAACACACCGTTGCTATTGGCTGCACAGTTTGGCAAGGTTAAGGCGGTAAATTATCTGCTAGACAAGGGAGCTGATCCCTTTGTAAAAGGACAGTTTGGAAGAAA